AAAAAAAAAAAAAAAAAAAAAAAAAAAAAAAAAAGGAGGAGAAGAAGAAGAAGACGACATACTATGATGACCATTGGTCCGGCGAACATGATGATGGCGCAAATTGTCGTGAGGGTACCGCAGAAAAGCCTCCGGCCATTGCCGTGTAAAGCAAAGAGAGATACAAACACGTAAATCGCATAGAAGACAAGCACGAGTGTAAGCACCCCAATAACTTTGTTTTTCTCTCTTCTTGGCGCATAAATTAGAAATATCGTCAAGAATATGGCTTGCAACGCGGCCCCGGTTATGTTAACCGTCGCTATTAAAAAGTTGTTTTGCGACACAAATGGCAAACCGTACCTAATCGAAAGGCATATACAACTTAATAATCGAAAGACATATACAACTTAAATTCCTCGATTACTATTAGAAACTACTATATTGACGAGTGTTTGATTATGACAATCATCTTGTTTTACAATTGTCTTCGAGTATTACGGGATTGACGAGCATCTGATTATGACATCGTCATGTGCACGTACGTATTAAGAAGTATTTGAATTTTGATATTCACTTTAAAAAAAAAAAGGGGGGGATCTCTAATGGTACTACTTATGATTATTTTGATAAAAATAAAGTGAAATTACCATGAACCAATCAAGCAATTGAGCAAGGTGAGGACAAAGGGAATGCCAGAAAACTGCTCTGTTGATTTTTTCTTCAAGATCCTTTTGAAGGTAACCCTGTATTAAAATAAACTTATGATAATTAATTATATTATAATATCACAAGTGGAAGTAAAAAAAAAAAATTAAAAAATTATAATAAACTAATTACAACATCAAGAATTATCCATTTTGGTTATTTTGTTTCATATTCATTTCACTTTATTTGATTTCTACTCTCTTGTTTTAGCTGCAATTTCATCATGTGACACAATCTTGAATAGTGAAATGCTAATGTTTCAAGTGAGAACTCACACTGGAGACAAATAAAGAAACAGAGCAAAAGCATTTCCTGTGGAATTGGAAAAAAAGATAAAACAAATTAGTTAGAACAGAGGAAATGATAAATATGCAATCAAAAACAGGAGAACAAAATGCAAAATTATCTACCTATATGCAGAAGGCAGAAAATAAGAGTAGAGAAATAAAAAATCAAATTAAATTACCCACCAAAAAGTCCAAACACAAAGTGAAGAGTTTTGTCCATAAATCTTCTTTTAGGATATAAAAGTATCTGAACTGAAAAGAAAATACTATCAAGAAGCTCTTCAAGAGGTGCAAATTAAAGAAAAAAAAAAAAGATGTATTTTTGGGCTTCTGTTTATCCCTTTCTTGTTTTGTTCTCAATAATGTCCTTGTTATATAATATTACCCATACACATAAATATAGACTCGAGTACAACACGTGTGTAATATACAGTAGAAATTATTATACTTACATTCGTAAGAAAAATGAGGGAGAAAGTCTTTGTTTACAATTTAAATAGTTTTTTTTTTAAATAAATGCATTAATATTTTTATATAAAATTGCGTCCGTCACTTTACTTGTACAACTTACCCATCTTATATTATGTAATTTTTCTAACTCGTATAATATGATAATTTTATAGGTAAATTTTATTAATTGATAAATAGTTTTATTAGTTTTCAATTAAAGTTAATAGATAACTTAGTTTTAATTACAAGGATAGATTTAGTTATTTAATTTATATATGGAATATAGATGTGAAATCGAAATTTATCAAATGCTTAATTTGATATAGCATGTGAACAATATATAACAAATACAAAAGTCATTTCTTTTTAAAATTATTTGTAATTTAAGTTGGTCAAATGATTAATATTTTTAAATATAAAAGTTATATCTTTTTAAAGTATATTTGTAATTTATTTATTTTTGGTACAAAGTATATTTGTAATTTAAGTTATTAGGAGGAATGTACGAGGAAGCGGATAATTTTAGAGAATATAAATTGCAGATGGGCAATATTTTCTTGATTTTTGAATCTTACCTAACTGGCTAACTTGTTAATGTCAAGGCACTACAGACAACTATATCTATATGGTGCTAACAAAAGCCACTTTTAACGGAGTAGTTTAGACTAAAATGTCCATTGCGTGTTAATTTTAAAAATAGTGTTATGTATAAATTAACTGTTAACATCAAGTGGATATTATGTTAAGTTGTACAACGTAGCTACTAAAAATCTCGGCGATGTATTTGTTTGGAATTTTTTTTAAGAGATATTTTGAGATTTTTTAAAATTTTTAAATTTAGAAGAAATCTATGAAATTTTAAATTTGGAATTGGAGGTGAGATTTGGAAAGAGATTTCGTATATTAATGGTTTTTTTTTAAATCTCAAATAAATACCATGAGATTTTTAATAAGAATTTTAAAAGCCTAAGTTGAATAAATCAGAATTTAAAATCTTAAAAAAGTCTTAAAATATCCCAACTGAATACAACTGGACTCAATAAATAATATGAAACGAAATAACCGATAAATAAATTGCTCAAACTTTTTAGATGATGGCTATTTTGATTTGATTTTTATAATGAAAGAGTATGATAAACAACGTAATTGAGTATATTACAATGTTTAAAAAAATTATCAAAATAAATTAGTTCAAAACGTTAATATTTTCGAAGTATTTTGTAAGAGAAAATTAGAGGTTACTATAAATCGATATGTATAAATACAAAAAAAATGGTAAGCAATTAAAAAGAATATGAAAGAAAGGCAAGATAAACAATAAGCTATTACCGATTTGACGAAGAAAATACGTATAAAAATTAGAAAATATTACATCCTTACATAAATTTTTATTTTGTAACTTTTGGTAAGAAATTGGCATTATTAAAACAAAAAATTATTAATGTTTTATTCGGCATATTTTTTTAATTATTATATATGTATATGCATATATTTTTCCATTTTAAAAATTATCGTCATTTATATTTGTGTAGTTAGGATGTGACTTACGTATATTAGTTGAGTATAAATCTTGTGGTGCGAGTAATTAGTTACATCTTGAGATTTTGGTCTAATATGGACCACTTGTGAAGTAAATTTTATTATTTGTTAACATTCAAAAGCATATGCTGAGTGATATTTGGAGCAAATGATACCATAATTTAAAACTTTCAAAGACTAATTTCAGGTGAATTGATTTGGAGCAAATGATACCGTAATTTAAAACTGTCAAAGACTAATTTCAGGTGAATGAAAAATTAATAATTTAAGTTGACAACTTATTGAAATTTTCAAATGTGGAGTTGGACTGTAGCTTTATTTGGGATCTGCGAATCATTAAATTGTGATATGTTATAATTTCGGTAAGACTTTTGTAAAAATAAAAATTAAAAAAAAAAAAAAATNAACATTGTTTCAATAAATATGTGCGTACTTCATAAATACGAGACTTTTACACTGTCTCACACAAATAATTTATATATAAAACCATATCACAATTTTAGCGGTTTGAGATAAAAGGATAGACAAAAAAAATTTGCAATTTGTTGTGCAAAATCAACTTTTCGATTCTTGTAATCGTCACTTTTATTCACTCTTGCAATTTATTTTTCCTTTGATTAGATCATAGTGTTTCGGTCATGGTTGTTGTGGGGTCAAGACTCAAGACCTTTGTCTATCACATGCATGATGATGGTCTTTTGAATTATTGGTTGGCTAAGGTTAGACGTGTCTAAAGGCTGGGCCGGTTCACGACCCAACCCTGCCCGGACCGGTTCACGACCCGATTCTGCCCGGCCCGCCACGTCGGCGGGCCTCAAATACTGGGCTTAATTAGAACCGGCCCAGCTATATCTAAGTGAATCGGCCTGATCCGAAACGTTTTTTAATTAAAATTAAAAAATAACTACGACCAGGTTTTACATGTGTCACGATTTTATTGTTTTACACATTACATAACCTTTAAAAATAAACATTCGGTAAACCTACACATCATTCTTTTTTATCATTTTCTCGTAAATTCTATGGAGTTACCCATAACTTGATGTATTGACGTTTTTCCAAAATATATTATTTTATGACACGTGTCAATACATTATTTGTAAATAATTATCCGACTAGTACAATACCCGTGTATTACACGGGTGTTGAATTAGAAAACTTTTGTAAAAAATATTAAATATTTTGAATTAGAAAGCTTTTGTAAAAAATATTAAATATTTTATAATTTAATTTTATATAAAACATTACTTTGAGTTTTAATTAAATTGTCAAATTATACTTTTTTTAATCATAATAATTAAACACCCGTGTTGAATTTTTTTGCATATATCATATAAAAATATCGATATTCTTTACTATTACATAAGTACAAAAATATATATCTTAAATAAATAGAAATAATATGGTAATATGTATATGCATAAGTGTAAAATATATTTATTTGATATTATGCAAAATAAATTATTTTTTTTACTTAATTAGATGTTTAATACATCTAAGTGTCATATCAGTTGTGCTTCACAGTTTTTTAACTTTATATGTAATTTTAGAATTTAGATAAATAATTATTTATTTTTATTAGATTGACAACATACCAATTAGATAAATTATTGGCTCTAGCAAATGGGAAAATTTTGTAACTGTCACAATTTAAGAAAAATATTGCACAATAATAACCAGGCATACACAATCCAAACAGTTAACAATCATAAACAAAAAACAAATCAAAAAACACAAAAACTTTCAGGAAAAAAAAACCCCGATTCATTCACAAAAGAAATTAGACAAAATAAAAAATTTGGAATAAAAAACACCAAAGAAAGAAGAAAGAGAGTGACGAGATTAAAAGGACAAGCAAATCACAATCCCATTAATGGTAGAATTCTTCCAAAACTAAACTATTAAACTAACAAATAAAAAATATTATTTTATATCCAAGCCTAACTCCAAAGCGTGATTTTTTGCCAAATAAAATTCCAAAGCATGAGAGTTTGTCACGTAGGCTCAGCGCATTCTGAAACTATATATGAGGGGATGACTTCATAGCAAAATAATCGTCTTCTTTGTCTATCAATGATCGTCAAGCCAAATTAATCTTGAGTAACATATTCACGATATTTAGAGTTCATGTTGTAGTGACATAAGAGTTTGATGACATAACGTTCGACATAGTAACAAGTGACATACTATTATTACTTTGCACATCATATCTCTTTTAAAATCTAACACTTATTAAACTTATTTTTAGTTATCCTCTATGTCAACCTTTTATGTCATATTAGTTTTATCCTAAAAAGTTGTATTATAAGTAGCATAAACAATTTTTTTAGCTGGATAATTATGCTTTTATCAATGTTATAAAACTCGTCCAGACAATGAACTGACCTTCGGGTCATCGAGTCAATTGGAGAACTAGACAATTATTAGTTATAAAAAATTATAGGTTATATTTATTTAATATTTTTCTTATGAATGTCAATAAAAATGACAAAAATAAGTAGTAAATTTATTCAAGTCTTAATATTATTATTTTTCATTATAAACATACACAAAACTTTTTTATTCTAAATAATAAAATATTTTAAAAAACAATAATAAAATATTTATAGCCGGTCACTCCGAATTTGACCGTCCCATTTGTTGTCCGCCCAAATAGCCTACTTGGATCGGACCCGATTCCCAACCTAGTCGACATGCCAGGTTGGTTCGGGTTTCAAACCAGTAGGTTTTATATCAAAATCAAACATTTAATTTCTATATTCGGGAAGAGTGGTACATGGTGGTTTACCCATCATTTTTAGGACATTTAATATATTATATAGTATTATAATTCTGTACGTATTATTGGACAATTATTTACTTCTCGACCAAAATATGATTCTCTATTGCTGAATAAAATACTATTTATAGACCATCTCAAAATAGTTTTAATCTTTCATCAAACTTTTAATTAATTTCTAGTGTTCTTTTTAAGTAATTTTTTCAAATGAAAATCTTGTATTATTTTCTTCTACTAAAAGGATATCAGAGTTGAATTTCAAGTCACCCATGATACTATTTTTATTTGACTTTTAACCATCNTAATAATAATAATAATAATAATAATAGCGGTGATTTACACATTATAAAATGTGAACAGTAATTTAAATAGAATCGTGTCAAACTTTTCTGTCTAATAAGCCTACAACACCTCTAAAATATTAATTAAAGCAAAATCACAAGTGGCCTTTTGTCATTTAGTAGTATAATCATGAAGTACATAATAATAATTGAGCATATATATCCCTATCAATGGATGAAAAAAATTAACACTATGTATAGGTAGCATTGAATATATATTGAATGCTACAATACAAAGGGGTCACCCAAGTTTGACACTTTAATTAACACGACTTTCTGTTATGGTTCTTTATAAAGTAGAGCTTATCAAATCAAAATTCGTCTTCTTCAATGATGAAACAGAGAGGTGCGTCTTTTTGCTTGCACGCTTTTTAGGATATTCTATGTGAAAGCTTATTCATGTCAAATCATTTTGTAGGTGCCGCACTCAATCTTGTCGCGTTGGATTAATATAAACTCATGCAAATACGTATTTATGTACGCGTAGAAAACTCGGGCGTGTACATTGTACAATGTAAGATTTATTTGCATGTGTATACATTTGTATACGAAACTCTGCGTACATTGTACACATCAGTAGAATTAGGTCTATCGAATGTGTGATCTCGAGTTCGGATAGTGTATATTTATTTAATTTCTAGTATTATGCAATTTTATTTTTTTTTTCTTAGGATAGTGTATGTTTATTTAATTCCTAGTGTTATGCAATTTTTTTTCTTAGGTTGTCTCTTGTGGAAGTTTAGGATTACTTGTTTAAGTAACTAGTACAGAGCCCGTGCGATGCACGGGGTGTACAATTTTAAGGCTATTTATCCAGGCTTATAATTATATACATGAATAAAGAAAAATGTACAGGGATATATATAGTACGTGACTCGTGCGAAGCACGAGATATATTTATTTGGAAAATATTATATTATAAGATGCAATGTTCAATAAAAGTTTTATAATATTCAAGTGGAGTCTTAAAGTCTCTTGTACATTAAGACTACTGACAAAATAATATTTTAATCAATGAGTTTCCTTTCCTTGTAGTCAAATTGTGGATGTGATTTGAGGAGTACAACAAATCGATATATACCTGACTTGTTTTTTTCATTGTAGTTTTTTTTCTTTTTTTTTATAATGAATTTAAAGATATTCTAAAATATAGCAAAAATTAATTTTTTTATTACAATTAGGAATTTTACTAAATATAAACTCTCAATCTATGGTGTTAATCAACGTTTAAGTCTAAAAAATTAGGAATTTTTACCTCTTTTAATCAACGTTTAAGTCTAAAAAACAATAGAGTTATTATAAGTTTTTTTTCTACATCTTTTAAAACATTAAATATGAGTATGTTAGGGCTAGCTTGTAAAATAATTAATATATTATCTCACTAAAATATTTATACTAATAAAAATTTAATTTTAGCATATAAATTTATCCCTTGATATAAGAGAAAGTAACAGTTTTACTTATTGTTGTTCACCATATAATATTTAATTATTATTTTATTATATAATAAAAAAGAAATATTGTTAAATAGTGTAGTAGAATTGTTATAAAATTATATGATTTTTTTTTATACAATATGGATTTAATATTTTTTTATGATTTGATAATATAAATAAATCTATACTTGACTTTGACAAATAAAACAAATAAATAATTTATTAAGTATTTAATATATATACTAAATAGGAGTATATTTGGTATAATCAAATACCAAATATGATTATACCAAATATAATCAAATTATACTTACCTTTTTAAAATAAAACAAATAAATAAATCAATTAAATAAATAAAAGATTATAATACCAAAATAGTAATGACATTTAATGCAGTTGACTTTTCTGGATAGTAAATGTAGTAAATAGAATCTCCTTTTATATAAGTATAGATTCTATAATACGGAAATAGTAATGCAATAAATGTTGTTGTCTTTTCTTTATACTTAATCTGGTAAATAGTATACCTTTTAATATAAGTATAGATAGATGCCATTAATTAGATGGTCCATATTTGTTTAATTTCTAGTATATAATTATTTTCCAATGGATCTCTTGTCGAAGTTCATGATTACTTATTAGATAATCACATCAGCTAAAAATCTATTAGCACTATACGAAGCGTATTATCTTTTCGAAACCTCCTCCCACAACATCTAAATGAGTTAATTTCCTTTGTAATGTTATT